CTTAGAGCCTTAATGGTGACCTGATCAAGTGCACATGGTTCCACATTGCTCTGCACATCCAGCTCCTGAGGGAAAACATTGTGCAAGGGCCCTTGCCAGAGCCTTTCAGACCAACACACATGCTGAAGGGGAGTGGGGGCGCTGGGCCAGGCCCGTCCCAGGTGCTGTTGGGAGCAGGAGGTGCAGCCAAAATGCCTGACGCAGGAACCAGCGGTGGGCCCCACACAGGAGGATCTTCATGATGCCCCAGGAATGGCAGCAGCTATGGGTGCCATCAGGTGGGTGTGTGGCTGCCGCATGCGCCCGCCTCGGGGAAAGGCTCGGTGGCTCCACACCTGGTCTCAGGGCTTTCCTTCCTCTCTCTGGACAATCTGGATCCCCTTCCATTTAATCTGCTTTATGCTTCACTGCGTGTGCAGTCACTTCAGATTCTGGCTGGAAGGTCACGGATGCAGGGGAAGGTCTGGAGGACACAGACCCTCCCCAAAGAAAGGGCCTAGCACCCGGAGCATCGCAGCAGCTCTGCAAAGGGCAATGGGGTGAGTGGGACACCTGGGGCAGGTGGTGGGCGAGCGCCCGCCAGAAGCTCTGGTCCTGACCCGGCTGCTCCTGGTGCTGGCCTGGACTTAGAAACGCGGACCAGCACTGACTATGTCCACGCAGGGCCGCAGGCCCCTCAGCATTTGCGGCTGATTCCAACCCCACCGGGTGCTCAGGACAGAGGACCATGCGGGTCAGGTAACCGCCCAGCTGAGAGCACATTTTGGAAGTTTGCCAAAGCTTACAAATTTTAACAAATACTTTCAGAGTAGCTTGAAAACTGCACTGGAAGGAAATCCTATTAGTGTAACTAATGTACATGTGAGCCTGCTGCAAATGAAGTCATATACTCCCCAAAACAGCATGAAAGAAGTTCTATAAGCTTTTGACATATTTGTTCATTATCAGTACTCATTCTTTTTTTGTTAATTTCTTTAAATTGATGCTTAGAGTGAGGAAGGCAGAAAGAAGAAGAGGGAAACATTGATGTGAGAGAGAAACACTGAAGGGTTGTCTTCCCTGTGCCCTGACTAGTAATGTACCCTGACAGGTATTGAATGAATAGGCTCTACACGCCTGTATATTCTTTTTTAAAATATATTTTATTGATTTTTTACAGAGAGGAAGGGAGAAGGATAGAGAGTTAGAAACATTGATGAGAGAGAAACATCGATCAGCTGCCTCCTGCACATCTCCTACTGGGGATGTGCCTGCAACCAAGGTACATGCCCTTGACTGGAATCAAACCTGGGACCCTTGAGTCCGCAGGCTGATGCTCTATCTACTGAGCCAAACCGGTTAGGACCTTTTTTAATTTTTCAATTGCACTTGATATTCACTTATATTCACTATTATTTTAGTCAAGTATTTGCCATGTATTTGTACATAGTTACTGTTCACTAAAGAGTCCCCTTGTGTATTATATTCATGTTTGTGTGTGTGTTGCTTTTGGCTGGGAATTGTGCTATGGAGTTCACATTAAGAAGAGAATATTTTAGTTTGTTTTTCTCCTATTTTGTCCTGCCAGTCAATTTTGTAAATATAAATGTGGGGACATGAAGCATTAATGCAAGTCAAATGTTTCAGTGAACAAGTTTCAGCAGTTCAACTTTATAACAATACTAGTGGCCCAGTGCATGAAATTTGTGCTCAGGGGGGATGGGGTTCCCTCAGCCCAGCCTGCACCCTATCCAATTGGGGACCCTTTGGGGATGTCCAACTGCCGGTTTAGGCCCACAGGGATCGGGTCTAAACTGGAGGTTGGACATCCCTCTCTCAATCTGAGACCACTGGCTCCTAACCATTCACCTTTATAACAATACTAGTGGCCCAGTGCATGAAATTTGTGCTCAGGGGGGATGGGGTTCCCTCAGCCCAGCCTGCACCCTATCCAATTGGGGACCCTTTGGGGATGTCCAACTGCCGGTTTAGGCCCACAGGGATCGGGTCTAAACTGGAGGTTGGACATCCCTCTCTCAATCTGAGACCACTGGCTCCTAACCATTCACCTGCCTGCCGACCTGATTGCCCCCAACTGCTCACCCCTGCCCGCCTGATCACGCCCCCAACAGCCCTCCTCTGCTGACCTGATCTTGCTCCCAACTGCCCTCCCCTGCTGGCCTGATCTCACACTCAACAGCCCTTCCCTCCTGGCCTGATCTGGCCCCCAACTAACCTCCTCTGCCACCAATTTTGCTTCTGATTGGTCGGTTTCTATACCAGTCAGCATCAAAAACTCCACCTCCTAGGCAGCCATTGGCTCCTCACAGTTGACCCAGATTTGGTTCTGATTGATCGGTTTCTATGCCACTCAGCGTCTCTGGGCCTATCAATGGGGCCTGATCAGAAAAGTGGGGCGGATCAGCAGCCCAGATAGAGGCCTGGAGAGAAATGGAGGCAAAGCTGCTGGCCAGGACCAGAGAGAGAGAGAGAGGCAAGTGCTGACCAACAGCTGCCACAGAGGCTACAGATCAGACCTTACTTCTCTCTTTAGGCCTCTCTTGGCCTGATTCGCAGCCCCCTCAGGAGTCAGTGCTGGGTCACCTCTCCTGCAGCCACAGCTGACTGCAGGACTGACTTCTAGTTAGTGGAGCCTCTGGTCTTTGTGGATGTGACCAATCAGGGTTTGTATATATTAGGATAAATAAGCCTGTTAAATTTTTCTGGACAATGCTAGCATTTGGATTTTTTAAAAAACAAGTAAATTTCTATTGATGGCAAATAAATAGTGTTTGTAGGATTTTTATCAAACAGTAGATTCCACCCATTTACTATACTTTTCTAACTTAGTTGTCCTACATGCAAGTACATGTTTTTAATGTTGTCTGTTTTCTGTGCTGTTCCTGTAAGTTTGCTATTAAAATACATTAAACTGAAAAAAAATGAAAAGAAAAGAAAGGGGGTCAGACATACTTTCTCCAGGCCGGACACAAATGCACACAGAAGCCCAGGTGGGGCATCAAAAAACAACTCGAGGACACGGCTGCCCATGGGGCTGCAACGCCTATACTGAGGAGCTCCTGGTGACAGGAAGCAAGGAAAGGAAATACACAAGTCTTAATAGCTGGGGGCCTGAGCCTGACAATACTACTCACCACCCTTCTAGGTCTTGGCCCAGACCCAGCTAGTCCCTCCCCCTCTAGGCAATGTCCTCCCTAGATAGAGGACATCACACAGGGAAGTTTAGAAAGCTTCGAAGGCCACTTCATAAACATCATTTACTACTGGTCGTTACATGTGAATAATATGTTTATACTGTTCTTTATGGAAGACAATTTCAACGAGTCAACACCAAGAATACAGTAGGCAGCCCTCACCCTGAGACCCTCAGCGTCCTTCCCTAGTCAGCGAGGAGCCCCCTCCTCTGTCCCAGGGCTGCCTAACCCCCTCTGTCCCCACTGTGACTCCTGGGCACAGC